TTTATAAACGAGAAAGAAGCAAAGATACTTCGAGAACGATGGACAACTTACCGGTAAAACCATCAAGTCGTTTTCAAGAAGAGACAGACATTCCACATGATTAACTTCACAAAAACTGAGTCCGATATTGGAAAAAAAAACTTTATAAAAAGTCAGTTAACTGCAAATAGATTTCAAGCCGCTTTGAACTCAGATTGAGTTGAGATACACTACGTTATATAAATTGAGTTTAACATGACCGCAAATTTAAATTCAGACAATTCAAAATCGATTTCAAGAAAGACAAAGGCACTAGGTCTAACGAGATCGCAAATATTGATCGTTTTCTTTTGAATGAAACACAGCAAAAACCGCTGCTGCATTCATAAAAAGACCAAATCAAAGACCTTGAAATCAATCGGCTTTATTGCAGCTAGTACAGGATTCATAACCCGATTTTAAGATTTGGAGGGGCGGACGCTAAGCCCCTCCGCTCGATGCTTTTCCACCTCCGAAATAATCTTTTGTTCAGAGGGGGGCACCTAGGACTTTCTAAGGTGGCGATTGGACATTAAAAAGAAGATTTTGCGGAATTGTTGTGCAGTGCAGGCAGTTTTGAAAAAAAACAAGCCAAAAATGTTGATTGAGAGCGTTTTTCGGAAGCTTTCAATAAAAAAAATCATATTTCGGCGCGAGGCCCTCCATTAAAGTAAGTATATGTTGCTGCGAATAGATCCTTTAGAAAACATGGAACATGGCGTACTTTAAATAGTACCAAAGGGGGTGGACGAATCAATGGAAGGTGGATTTGAAAAACTAATTTCAATTAACTACTAGCACGAGTAGTGTTTTTGCGAGTTATTGCAGTACAATAGACAAAAAAAATAAGTAAAAAGATAGGCTTAGGAAAAAAATTACCTTATTTGATGACTGCAGATGTGGTAGCTCAAAATTTGACCCATTCAAATCAGGCGCGGATAGAAAGATTATTTCAGGGCGCGGTGTCTACTTGTTAAAATCGCTCGAGACTTTTGTCAAACTTTTTTTCGGGAAGACAAATCTGATTTTCCGAACTCTCATACATTAGTGTAAAGACTATATTTTGGTTGCAATGATTTAAAAAACCAAAAACAGCGTTTTTAAGCTTTTTTTGGAAATTTTTTGACCACACACTACTACTCTGACCTTAAAATTAGTGTATATTAACGCCCGACGCGCTTTTAAAAATTTTAGGGTAATTCGGCCAAAAATGGATGTCGTAAAATATTACCGAAGCTAGATACCTTTAGTGGTCTGGGAGTTGAATCTCTCATGGAAAAGGGCGTTCTCCCAAATCCGCTACTGATTCTTATTTTCAAGTTCAACTTCGATGTTAGTATACAAGAACGAAGTATAAAGATAACTATTTTAAACTAAACAAATCAATCAATATTTTCTGTTTTTGAAGAAGAGGAGACAAATATGAGTAGTAATTTTTCAGTCGCCTTCAAAAACAACAAAAGAAGAAGCAGAAATGCATCATGTTCACTTTTTATCCGCATTTAGAACTTAATTTGAAGAGCAGCTCCGTTTTTATTTTATTGCTGTATTTAAAATTAGCAGGTGTGACGTACGCTTTGAATGGATTTGTTCGTTTTGATGGCTGCGAAATCCTTTAAAACCACACCATAAAAAGTGTCTTTTCAAAATGGCTTACAAGTAATAAAACTGGTAGACTAGCTGTCGCGACAATTGACTCCAAAACGGAAAATTCTATCGTAAAATGCTACGAAAGAAGTGGATCCATTAAGAAAAAACTTTTCAAATATTTTAAAATGACCAAGAATGCCATAAAAAGCTAGCTAATTTATCGTGTTTTTTGCATTTTTGCTAGTGAAAAACAAATTTAAACTTCTTAATCTTGTTCTTCCCTCAAAAACAGGGGCGGATTATCAAAAAATTGACGAAAATTGGCTTTTTTTTATTAGATCGACCAAATTGATATGTCCGAGCTCTCCCAAAGCACCAAAAAGACCCTGTTTTGCCAAAACTTCTGCGCCGAAGGCAAGATTATGAAAAAAAAACAGGCCAAAAAAGGCGTTTTTAAGCACTTTTTGGAAAAAAAATTTGACATAACAGGATTTAGAAAAAAATAGAATCCGTCAGCCGAAAATGGATATCTCAAAATAGTACAAAGGGGGACTATTTGGGTCGGCAGGGGGTCGAATCCCTGAGTCAAAATATTACATTTAAAGATATATTTAATAAGCTCCCTCCCCTATGGTATCCAATAAAGAATCTCCACCACTCTAAATAAAAACAGTTTAATTAGCATTGGAGATTGAGAATTCTAATATCGCTGCATTCTGAGTGGTCGAAATTTTTCAACACTCTTCTCCCCCTTTTTGAAAGGAGCGATATTGTAATTGATCCCATTCAACTCTAGAATGAAGCACCTGTATCGAGTGACCACCCTATATTTGTTTGATTAGTCTGTATATATTTCCGGCTTCAATGGGTCAGGCGTCCAAATAAAAAGTAGGAAGTATCAGAAACTTCTCACAAATGACAGCGTATGACGAAAAACGTTTTCTATGATTCCTCAGAGAATTATCTTGTTGTTCCGACTTCCGAAGAAAGTGACGGAATTCTTGTGCTCAAAAAGTTTTCTTTCCAGACAACATCAATTTTTGACCAGTCATTTTTGACTAATTTTTGAGCCATCTGAAAGGTATTGATGTCATAAGCTGAAAGTTAGACAAACAACATTTAACGTGCGACTACTTTTTGTGGAGGTTTGAAAATTTTCAAAATAATTAACGCGCGGTATGTTGCGGTCCTAATAGCAGGCACAAACAAGAGCAAATAAATGACAAAAGTAGCTCTAAATATATTTTAAAAGTGTAAAAAGGAAAAAAAAAGGTCCAATGAACCTTTAAAAATAACGTTTGCAAGGTGCCGGAATTGAGTTTCAGGCTCTCGCATCGGTCCACGGTCGTTCAAAAATTTAAAAGCAGTAGCTACCAATAAAGCAGCTAGAGTTGCTATTGATTTACCAATGCTGTGCGGCAAACGTGCTTCCAAATAAAAAAAACTGTTTTCATGTGCCGGGATCGAACCTCCGACCTGAAGATTACGTGCTCGTATTTGCGCCACGGTTGATTGGAAATATATTAAGACTAGCTGCCAATAAAGCCGCTAGCAATGCTGTTCATTTGCCTATGATTAGAATTATACCAGAAACTTTATCAGATGAACGTTGCAAATTGAATAATTTTTGTATAACATTTTAAAAATAAAATTCTTGTTAAATTTAGTTATCAATTTTACTAGCTTATGTCCCATCCATCAGGGCTTTATATTTGAATTAGATTTCAATGTCGAGTTTTAAGTCAAATTTTAGATTATTTTTAAAAAAAGTGGCCAAATCTCTAAACTTACTGAGTTTCATCAGATACGTGATTTTTTAGAGCAAAAAAGGACCCTAAAAAGTCGAAAGCCTACCGCGGCTTTTCCAAACTTCTGAAAATCAAATTTTGAGTTAAAAAAAATCAGAAAAATCATACAGAAGCCAAATTTGCAACCCTGTGGAGTACCTTGACAGCACCACAATATGGTGTTGAAAATTGTGAGTTTTGTTAGTGTTTTCATACAAAACTCTATAAAGAGGCCAAAGGTAATACTTGGAGGCCAGATTTGCAACCCCTGAGTGCACTTCAACAACCAATTAGTGCTAAAAAATATAAGAATCATAGAAAAACGCCATATCTTGGAAGACAAAACAATTTGAGCAGTTGAATTTAGAAGCCATAATTGTAATTCTTAAATTTACACTGACAGCACTCCACCATAGAAGAATTTCATTTTTGTTAGTTTTTTAATTCAATTTATAAAAAGAAAACTGAAACATTAAAACAAAACGCCATATCTTTTGGAAAACAAAAAAAGGTTTAGCAGCAGCTTTAGCACGACAAAATGCAACCCCTGAGTAATTCTTAACAGCGCCCACCCTTGAGTTGGGAATTTCAAGTTTTTTTTCTGCCTTAAACTTGTTGCAAAAACAATAAAAAACGCCAAATCTCAAAAACCAAAAGATTTCAGCAATCATATTAAGAAGGCAGACTTTCAACCACAGAGTGCAACCCCGTAGATTTGCCAGCATCATAGCTACAGTCTTAAAATTGGCGAAGCATTCATTAAATGGAAAATCGAAAAAACTAAAACATTGCAATATACGATATAGCTTAAACGTGGAAAAACTTATTCGTTAAGCATGCAAAAATAATATGTTGAAAAGCTTAATATGTCAACATAAGGACTACTTATGTGACATGATACCCCAATTAAATGATAGATACAAAACTAGCTCGTGCCTACAAATTTTGCCGCAATTAACCGTTTAACAGCGTAATTCATTATAACGCATCAAAAATTCTTCAACATTGCCATGTCACAGAAACTATTATTTTTGAGCAGCCCGACTTAGAAGTCAGATTTGCAATACCTGTGATTACCATGACGGCACCACACCATACTGAAAAATTTTAATTTATGTGACGATTTTGTTACATCTATTTTGTTGAGAATTTTAGAAACAATTATGAACAGTTGAAGTTGGAGTTCAGGTTTGCATGCAATCCCTAAAAACACTCTGACAGCACACCACTATGCCTTGCTTATTTTATTCTTTTTTTTGTGAAATCAAACGTGAAAGATAATTTTTGTTTTGAAAATTTACGTTGCGTAAAAAAAAGAAAAAAGTGTCTGTAGGGTCAATGCAATCGAGCTTCAACAGATGAATGGCAAAAATTGTAGATCATCTCCAAAATTTGCATTCGATTGTGCAAGTGAACAAAAAAAACGTATTTCAACATTCGTATAGAATATTTGAAAACGTTGACTTCAGCGATCATTTTGAACGTTTCAATGTATAGATAGCAGATAAAAAGATTGATCGCCTCATTACACAATGCTAACCCTCGTTGATTAAGAAAAATGTGTGCCGCTTGACTTCCATCCCTTCCTGTCGTCATATACGAACATTTCAATGGAACACCGTTGAATTTGATCCAAAGTGTTTCAGTATTGATAAAGTGTTTGATTCGATAAAATACAAACTTTGTACAAACATTTCCTATATCAATTTATAGAAACGGCGAAGCGGTAGGATCTGCAAAAGAAAACAGAGTTTTCGTCGAAACAACATCTTCTGATGGATAAAAACCATTGAATGAACTTTTATGACCTTCAGTTGAGCACATCTGCTCCAGCTCTCTTTTGATGGCGCTTCCAACTTCATTCGATGGTTTGCCGAAGTGGCCGAAAACCAGTCTTGGATCAGAAAGCGGATTCGATCTGACGGGTTCCGGTGAAGATATGCCTTCAATTGGGTCCAGATCTAGGACCTTAGGTAGTCGCCAGGGTATAAGATGTTCAAACTTGATATAAGCAGGCGGGAAAAGTATCCCTGGCAAATTGGGAAGACTGCTTTTGAGAGTAAGCAACCCCCTATAGATGGAATCGTCGTTGTTGAAGTTTTCGATTCTTGGATCTTTCAGACTACATTGCTGGTCCAGAGGAATGTATGTAGCTAATGCGACATTGCTCAAAGGAGCTGCAGTTTGGCTTGGTTTTTGAGGTAGAACTTGATGATTCAAATTTAGAGCTTGGGACCCCAGTAGATTCACGGCAGAAAAATTGCTTGATTGTGAGTTGAATGAATTAGACGAGTACATATCTACAGAAACATGCTCTTGAGATACCGAGCTGTCTTGCATTTGTGACAAGTCATTATAACTGTTGTTGGCACGAAAATCAATGTCTCCTCTGAAACCACTTGAGGTAGAACTACACTGCGTGTCATGACAAATTACCCTGTCATGATTGACAGAAAACTGCTGTGCGTAATTTAAAGCTTCAGAGTCATTTGACACCCCCATATCCGGTTGAAAACTTGATGACTGTCCGGTATAACTGGAGTTTTCTTCGTCTTTATCTAGACCAATTGAGTTATTGTTCGCTTCACAAAATCCATTGTAAGAATCATCAACGCCAAACATAGAGTTCGCATTCCTATCATCATATGATACATTTGGATTCTGAATAGTTGGAGATGCTATCGCTTGCATACAAGCAAGCTGAAAGGCGGCAAGCTCGTTGGAAAAAATTGGCGAAGATAAATTTTGTTGCGTGGAAGCCTCAAGGTTGATGAAATTCGGAACTTGCGGGGCTGGGAACGGAAATACCACTGGCATTTGCATCGGGGGTGGTACCGGCAATGGTACTGGAGGATCGGGACTTGGAGAGGACTTGACAACGGGCGGGCTTTTGAGGAAATTTGTTTTTTCCTCCGAATGATCTTCTGACTTTGCTGGACTGATGTCCTTACTTTTCGAGGCAACTGTGTTTTTTCGTTTGAATTGAGGGCTGCACTCCAGAAACTAGAAAAATAAGTAAATTTAATGAACTCAATATTCATGTAATATGCTACTTTATCACAGCTGGAAACTCAAGACACAAAAATGACGTTGCAAATGAGGCTACGGACCTACAAGGTAGAAATACTTAGTGGGCAATTTTTCGAAAGTGTTGACCAAAAAGTAGATATTTTTCGGCGCACACTCCGCTCAAATTTCGTGTATATTTTCACACTGCCGGTGACAAGACATTCTACCCTATTGCAAACTTTCCTGCCCCATCTTACCCCAGGTTCTAAACGACTCCTGAGACACGTACCCTTTTGAGTGCGCCTTCCAAATCCTGATTCATGAAATCATGCGAGAACTTGCACTTGGTCCCGTACTTGCAATGTCCCCCCTTGTGGTGGAACTTGCAGGGGAACTGTTTGTGCAGGTGCGTGCATAACTCCCCCTTGATGCATCCATCGCCCGCGTAGAACAGACACAGTTCCATCTTCTTCTTCACCAGCTGGGGGGAGTCGTGGGAGAAGTAACACTTGGAACCCTGAGAAGGCAAAAGTCAAACTGAACAAAATCACACTGCATCAAAAACTAAATGAAAAATATCCGCGCATTTGGAAACAGTCATCGAATCTGAACAAACCTTTCATACTGCTGCTGTAGCAGCTGTTCACACATGTGTCGCTCACTTTGTTTTTTTCTGTTTTTTTTTGTTTACCTTTATCGGGCCAGTACAACAGTGCCAAAAATGAAAAGTGTTCAACAATACCGAAATACAAGTGTCGAAAACAAAATTATTGTTCAACAGTGCCGAAAATCATCAACTTTCGGCAATGTTGAACACTTTTTCATTTTCGGCACTGATGTACTTCGGCACTGTCGAACGCCCCCTTTTATCACTTCAGAATCGGATTTCATTTAAAAATAAATTTAACTCATGTCTACTATAACTACCATATTAACTTGCTTCAATCCTCCCAACCCCAACGCCTGAATTTTGCTAAATATTCATTGAGCTAAATGCGTATTTAAATGTTAACGTATCGAGAAAAATACACAAAAAAAACTCAGCTATAACACCAAATGGCCAAAATAGAAAACAATCCCAGAAATTTTTTATCAAGATTTTGACAGAAGTGAACTAGTCAATAGTGATCTTAAATGTAAAAAAAAATTACAGAGTTCAGACACTTTTAACCCTAGTCAAAAACCATGTTTTAAGAAAAAACCAATGTTTTTTATGCATTACAAAAACTCACCAAGGGAGTTTCATTCAATTCATCAGTATAATAACTATGTTGCTTTACGTACCATTTTGCAATAACCACAGACATGGAACTTGCATATTCCCTTTTTCTTCTTCTCGCCCTGATTGTGACCTCTGCTTTCCTTTTCCCGCCTCATTTCTTGCTGGAACCTCCTCTGGATCTCCAAGTCTGGACTGTGGGCATCGAAAAGTGGGAACTTCATATCCACCAGATCCTTTTCAGTTAAATTTTTTAGATCCAAGTTGGAATTTCCATACGAGCTACTTGCACACTCATTCAAAAGGTTCGAACTTCTGGACTGTGTTGATACTTTCAGCGGAGACAATCTACCATTTTTAGGAGTCGCACGGTTTATTTTGGTCCTTAATTGGGCTAGGCGTGATCCCGTAAGCCATGACGAAGTACTCCTGTGACCTTTCTCAATACGATTACTTCTGTGGGATCCACGACTGTTGTCCGAATGTCTTCCCTCACGTGACTTCGATCTGCGTCTGCTCCGATTTGGACCGGCGCTCAACTCAGATTGCCTTCTTCGTTGCTTTTGCTGTTCGGAGTCTTTCATTCGACGCTCTTTACTCCTGCTATTCGATCTCAGCCGCTTCCGTCTATTTTCGTCATTCTAAAGGAACGAGTTTGAAAATTTCAACTAAATATTTTCATGATAATCTCAGCGTCATAACCTTTTGATTTGCATTATATATGCAGAATATTACATGGCTGTTTTTGCGACGGAAATTTTTGCGACGATGGCTGTTTTTCAATTTCATTTTTAAGCCTTTTAGACTGAATTAAATAGTATTTTTCTAAGAATCCAATATGCATTTTTAGAATTTGAAACAATCTTTACATGTCTCGATGCTCGGTGGCGACCATCTGTTGGCCTCGAGCTGCTCCGAGATGACTTTTTGGAGGTCTTCGATCCCGACTTGGATCTGTTCTTTTTGTCTTCTTCATTCTCTCTGCTTTCATCCACAACTTCTTCTTTAATTGCGGCTGATTGATCGCAATAATTGTTTGTTTTTTCGCTAAAACAATTAATTCAGATACATGTAAAAATAACTTGAAACCCTGCGACTAAAATCAAACCTCAAACAAAATAACGCTTACCTAGATGAAAAACCTAATTTGCATCTAGTTCAAATTACTATTTTTGTAAATCTTGGAAAAACATCAGCTTCGAAATCGTCAAAATTGTCGAATTTTTCCTTGAAAAAAGCGTGAGGATCACTTGAACTGCCAAGTTTATTGATTGCGCCAATATCACAGAACACTCCCGTAGTGATAATTACCAAAATATATATTTCAGCACAGACAAAACTGCACTTCGCAAACACAAGCAAATTAAGAACGCTAAAATTCTGGAAAATACAAAGAAAATCTTCGTAAGAAAGTGAGATTTTAAAAAACTCCATCAACAACCTGATTCGAAACCATATATCTAGAGGGTCACTTATTCATCCAGTACTCCTCCATCTCGCTTTTTTGAGCTAATTTTTTCATATCTCAATTCTGATTGGGTAATATTTTATTTGTCTACTTTATGATATGTATATTAAATGGTCGTACACTTGTTACTATAGAACCCTGCAACTGCACGAAAAAGTGCATCCTAAATCATAGTTTCTTCCCAATCCGAGAGAGTGATGGGAACATTGAACCAATCCAAGCCAAACAATTCACTCCAATCTGCATCAAGATTTATTTTCCTCCAATGAGGCGTGAGCAATTCAGTGTAAGAATGTCAGCCTACCCTTTTTTAGATAGATGAACTAATCTTTAAGGCTATTGACTTCTATCTTTTGCTGTAGAAAAATTCGTTTTTATAGGAAAATTTGAAAAATTTCATGAATTATTTTAAAAACAAAACGTCAACGGAGCAAGTTTTTTTTCTGAGTGGTACTTCAATTGTTTCAGCGGGGCTAAGAACATCCATTTTTTAATGCAAAAAATCAACAAAAAATTCCAAAAAATTAGGGATCGTCCACAGTTTTAAGTCATTCTCAACTAATCGAATCAAAAATCTCAACTCGTTCATACTTTAAGCAATCTCTCATTCTTTTCATGTTTTCAACCAGTGACAAATCATCAGTGGGCTCCAACTTGACATCTCCGTTTCCGAAACTTTTCTCATTGTTGTCATCATTGTGTCGTCCATTTGATTCAAATATTTCACTTCTGCTGTCATTCAAGGAACCCTCGCTGAAACTCGAAACTGATAAATGATCATTCAGGTTTTCAGTTTCAGCTTCAATTTCAGTTTCGTTTTTTATATTTTCGTTTTCCGCAGGCGAACTTTTTTCTCTGCTTTCTGACTTCTTCTTTCCCCGATTGTCGTCTGTTTTTGGGGACTCCTTGGACCTTTTGGGCGTGGAGAAGTGATGTCTGGCTCCTCTGGAACCCCGCGTGTTTCTTCTATGATTTCTTACTGCAGGTCCACTTCTAAGTTGGTCCCAAAACTCAGTCGATCTAATCGGGGATAAGGTATCACGTGATCTTCCCGCAGGACCTGGACTCATGTATCTCATACGTGGTTTGTTATTTGACATTTTCTCACGAAATTACACCTCAAAACGAACAATTCGTTCCACAATCTACAAAAATAGACCACTGCTAAATGTTGAGCGATAAAACTCAGAACGGAATAAGCTTGAATAAAGTGCTTTTATTGAGTGTTGCTCGTGGCACTGACTGAGCTGAGAGAGAGAAAAGATGGCATATAATTTCCTGGTTTGTGCAAACCAAAGCGAATTGGTAAATAAACTGTATTGGTTCAATGACACAAACTGTTCTCAGTTAACACACCAAAGATTCGAATTTTGATTTTTGGCGAGGCGATTTTCTCTTTTTATGTAGAACGGGTACTATTATGTACTTGTACGCTAATGGCAGGAAAATGTAAAAGGAATTTTACATTTTTCTTGCTTTACACTACACTACTGGTGCAAAAAGTGTTCACGGTCCGCAGCAAAATAACAAGGTAAGAAAACTGCAGCGGGTAAATTGAGGAATAGGACGCTTTACAGGACGTGAAATAAACGAAGGAAGAGAGTTGAATATTTCTTTTCTATTCTTTGCTTCGCCCGTTTGAAATCGTCTTGAATTCACTCCGTATATTTCAGGCTGCTAATTTCAGCTCACAGTTGCATGCCATTTTGCCCAAAATAAAAGCATTGAAGACATAAAATATACAAGTAGAAAACTGGGATAAGATTATATATACTTCTTCTGAATTCGTGCCGGGTAAGTTAAAATGTAGTCTGCAAAAAATAACCTCTGTCGTTTTTCGCTTTATACTGAACCCATTTTCAGCGCTTTTCACTTAGTACGCGCATTGATATAACATTCATAACCAAATGAAAGGAGGGGAAACAAAATGAACGGGTGGTTATTTGGTTGTTAAGGCAACTGAAATTTGGTCCATTTTACTCTTAGCTATTCGCAGGCTGTCAAAATAATCTACGAGAGACAACAAAATTCACACAAAACTGAAGAAAGAACAAAGAAATACTATGTTTTATATTGTGATAAAGAAAATAGATTCATACAAAATATCAAAAAAAAGGCAAGCAAAAGAAAATTATCAAGTATATTCCCTTTTTTAGATATAAAAATACAAATTGACGCCAACTCGAAACTTACAGAGAAATCCTTTCGAGATATTTTTCAAAGTTGTAACGTTTCACAGATCTGGATTGTGAATTTCAGGCTGCGGTGCGCGTCTGGTCTTGAAAATACAGCCAAAAGACGATATTATCTTTTGCAGAGTAGATGAAAGCAAAAATAGGCAACCGGGTTACTTTAGTTTTTAGTTGTTCAAGCTCTGAATAAATCTGTGCGTGTTTTGTTTTGTTTATTCGAAGTAACGGCCTGACAACACGAAGCTGTATAGTACAATTGAGCGCAAATAAAATAATCACACGTGTTAAATGCAAAGGAACCACGAGTGTGTGTATGTATGCACAAAAATGACTCAAACAGAAACTCAAACATCTCACATATTATCATCAGTCGACTTCTCATATCTTTTATAACTAGGAGCTGCTGCATTCATAATTTCGATTTTATTGTACGTTTTTCAATCCAACAGATATCGTATAGAAAATGGAGCCTGGCAACGTTTGTATGATAAAAAGCATTTTGCTCACCAAAATTAAACAAGCAAAAACAGAAAAACTTCAGATCGAACGCTTAATTTTGAGCCACATGTCAATTACTAGTCAGTAAGCCAGTTTGCTAAGCTATAATAAAAACAACTGGAATATTAACACGCCACGTTCTGTTTTTTAGTTCATTTTTATTGATGCTTTAAAATTCTGCGTCTATTTTGACTTTTATTTAAACCATAAACAGACGTTGTATGAAAAACTTAAGAAACTTTTAAATGCAATCTGCACTAAATTATTGAAAGATATAAACTCGATACAAACAATGCTACTAAGTTCATCCACAGTTTAAAGATAGAATTAATTGCATTCTATGGGATAAAAACTCAAAAAATATAAATGAAAAACATACAAAAGAAACATTAACTGCTGACGTTTCAAAAAAATTGCATCATTAAAAAAACTATATCTTGGGAAAATAAACTTAAATTGGCACTGGGTAGCGTTACACAGCCGTAACTCTTTGGCAATTAACTTCAGCGTTAGTCAAGAAAATATTCCATGACCTCTGTTACTGAAATCGTCGATGTGTCGAGGAAACAACAAAAATATGAGTTCAGCTGCTTGAGTTTTGAAATACCAGGAAAATTTCTCAAAAAATCAAATCAATCTCCATTACATGGCAACCCATTACTTAGCTTACCAATCCACGGCACTTCCATGACATTAATACGCAACATAAAACAACTCGGAAAAGAGACAACTTGCGTTAATTGAGGAAAGCGAACAAAAAATTGCAACAAAAAATAATATAAAAATTGTCTTAATCGCCTGTCCAAAGTAGCCCCCACAGTTCCACCATAAATGCAGCCTCGCTACCTGCCTAAGCTGCTTTTGCCGCAAAATATTTTCAAGCAGCATTGATAGTTGTCGCGAGATTAATTCAGCGAGTTTTTTTGTTGCGAGTAGTCGCGGTACCTTCAACCATGTCTATTACTGTGCACCTACTCTCCTCTGCCCGACAACATGCTGATTACTATTACAAAAACATTTCCATCACAGAAACATAAATTAGAGATGTCTACTTTGTGGCTCAAACAAATCATTTCAGAAAGATGTTAGGATACCGCTTGGGCAAACGCATGAAGAAATAACAATTTTCCAGTTGCCAAAAAACTGCGAAAGCAGCAACTTGCAAGCAAGAGTATTTCATGCAGAATTCGAGCATTTGAAGAAACATACAATCGAAAAACAGTGTAAGAATATTTAACTAAAATTGCGGCCGGTAAAAGCAGAAGTAGACTCAAAACTTTCAAAAAAAACATAAAAAATATTTCGCAGCCGTATAAAATATACATGTCAAACATACACCAACTTTAAGCAGTAGCAAAATGATTTAACCCACAAACCCATACCACCACACGCCATACCCCCCGCAAGTAGCACAGAATGTTCCGACCACATTCAGAAAAAAAATAAATAGGCGCTAAATAAATCGTCTAGACTAGATCCTTCATAGTAAAAACAGGTTTTTAAATCCTAACAACAAAAAAAAGAAAGAGCGTTACTCGCTCTAAATTAGACTAAATCTCAAAAAATTCAAACTAGCTTTTCTCGACACTGGGACATTGTTTTGAAAATATTTTAATGTCGCTCAAATCACGACTGAAAGAGCTTAAGTAGGATATATTACTCGACTCATTCCTTTGATAATTTGTGATACCTGACTTTGCGTTTGGTAAAAAAATGATACAGCCGAATACGAAGTTCTTCGCCATTTTTAAGGATCGGAACAAAAGCAGGTGGGATCTAGCCATTCGTTAACCCTCATAATTCATAAAAGCTCACTACGAAAGCTCAAAGCTACAAAATCAAACGATTATGAAGATTGTAAAACGGAGCAAAATGACGAGTAGGAAACTGGTAATATTTTTACGCCGTAATACTAGCAATAATATACTTATAGCAATAGTATAAAGTTTTCAATTTCTTGCAATCAGAAAAAAATTGAAAACTTAACAGCGATTTGACATGCGGTACCACATAAAAAGCAATGCAAGCTAGCAGACAAAAAAGGATAACCACTAAGTCCAAAAAAATGAAAATAATGTAGAAAAAACCACAACTATAAAAACTTCAAAATTTAAAATGATATCTACTTGCGGAAATCGATGGCGATAAATGGAAACTCAAGAACAATAACAGAGCGCCAACTGAGCCGATAAAACTTGGGTAGATTACCGCAGAACCTGAAACAAAATTCTTGTCATGAATAACTTTGAACTATAACTTCTGTTTTAAGACTTTCAGTGTTTTGTGCGATCCCGATTTCAGCATAAAAATTGTGCTTTTCTTGAAACGACCAAAATATATGTCAACCAGCCAATAAAATATAGGCCGGAATAGTTTGGGCGGAACAATTTTTCAGCGACACAAAGAAAAACAAAATAGAAACACAAAGTCCAGTTAAAAAAAATTTCAGGATAAAATCAAAACACAAAAAAAAATTAAATTTGAAATTGCGTAGAGCAAAAAACGATTCTAATATGCGGCAACTAAATCGACAAAACATAAGCAGACAGATAATTTAACAGCAAAAAAATTTAACTGAAACAGACTATTTCTTATTTGAAAAACCAGGTCCTGGCCAAATTCAAACCCAGGACCTTTTTCGTCGTGGGCGTAGTCGTTACCTCCAGACTAAGTGTGCCGTTCATTATGAATCAAGGTACCACCAGGAGATGAGTCAAGATAAGTACTGTGAACAAAGTTGTTTAAGGAGAACATGTCTAGTACCCAGTTGAAGCACCCTGGCTAACCGCTAGGGTAAAAAAGTTTCGGAGTTGCTATTTATTGCTTCTTTTGAATAAAAGAATAATAGAAACTAGCGTTTAACGCACCTTCGGTGCTTCGAAATTTTTCGACAACTCAGTAAAAACCGCATATATTGGAAACAACATCTGCAAACTTTTTGTGTACTCTGACTGCACCCAATTACAAACTTAAATTTTTTTAAATTCTATTTTAAAAGCGTCATCTCAAAAACTTAATGGGCCTCTGAAGAAATTTGGAGGCCAGATTTGCAACTACTGAGAGTCCCTGAGAGCACCCTACTATAGGGCAAGGAATCCAAAATTTTGTGAACTTTTTTAAACCTAAGTTTCCCGAAAAAAAAATTGAAGAAAAAAAACGTCTTATCTCGGAAACTAAAAGGATTTCAGCATTCATATTAATAGGCAAGATTTGAGACGCCTGGGTGTACGCTGACAATAAAGTTGTATCTTCATCAAGCTGGTAGTTTCAAATTTTTTGAATTTCTTTGCAGATAAGTTCTTTGAGAAATTTTGAAAAAATCAAAAAACGTCACATCTCGGAAACTACAAGCATTTGAGCAGTCGCGTTTATCATTCGCATGTGGCAAGATTTGCAACTCTTTAGAGTACCCTGACAACACCGAACTATCACGTTGGGTATTTCAAATTTCGAAAAAAAACTAATTTTAACTTTCTGAAAATTTTGAAAAAATCACAAAAAACGTCACATCTCGAAAACTACAAAAAATTGAGCAGTCATATTTGGAGGCAAGATTAGCAATCTTTGAGATTACTCTGACAGGACCCAACTACAGGGTTGGGAATTTCAGATTTTGTAAAAAAAAATTAATGTAAGTTTTCTGAAACTTTTTTTGAAAAAATCACAAAAAACGTCATATCTCGAAAACTACAAGGATTTGAACGGTCATATTTGGAGGCAAGATTTGTTACTCCTTAGAGTACTCTGGTAGCACCCCACTACAGGGTTGGGAATTTCAAATTTAGAGAAATAATTAATAAAAATTTTCTGAAAATTTTTGAAAAAATAACAAAAAACATCATATCTCGAAAACTACAAGGATTTGAGCAATCAAATTTGGAGGCAAGATTCGCGATCCTTGATAGTACTCCGACAGTACCCAACTTCAGGGTTGGGAATTTCAGATTTTGCGAAAAAAAATTATATGTTTTCTGAAAATTTTCTGAAAAAATCAGAAAAAAACGTCATATCTCGAAAACTACAAGGATTTGAACAGTCATATTTGGAGGCAAGATTTGTAACTCCTTAGAGTACTCTGACAGCGCCCAACTACAGGGTTTTTTAAATTATTTTGTTATTTGAAATTTCAGATAGTTTTTGAAAAAATCTCAAAAATCGTCTCATCTCGTTAGCTAAAATAAAAATGATTCGGGCATTCAAAATTAGAGGCCAAATTCGCAACCTCTAATTCGATATTGGGCTGCTTAATTTAAACTCGGTAAAACAACCACTAAAATCAAATTGGAAAATCGAACAAAAATTCTTAACCATTGCAATATATCATATAGCTTAAACTTGCAAAAAAAAATACGTTGAAAAAGCTTAAACATGGCGAGATAGTGAAGCCCGCATTTAAATATATAATAGATAATAGATAACCACTAAAATCAAATTGGAAAATCGAAAAAAATCTTAACCATTGCAATATACGATATAGCTTAAACATGCAAAAATAATACGTTGAAAAAGCTTAAACATGGCGAGATAGTGAAGCCCGCATTTAAAGGCCAAATTCGCAACCTCTAATTCGATATTGGGCTGCTTAATTTAAACTCGGTAAAATAACCACTAAAATCAAATTGGAAAATCGAAAAAAAATTCCTAACCATTGCAATATACGATATAGCTTAAACATGCAAAAATAATACGTTGAAAAAGCTTAAACATGGCGAGATAGTGAAGCCCGCATTTAAATATATAATAGATACAGCCAAAAAAATCCCAAAAACTAAATGAAAAACATGAAAAAGTTCAAAGATAACAAACAAAACTGAAGCAATACTTTTTTGAACGCAATTGCTGGTAAATAACCGGAACACATTGGAAGAACTTCCATTTGTTATTAAAACACTTAAATTATGAGCAAATTTCGTGCTGTCGCAACATAGCCGACAAAAGATAAGCAGATAAACAAAATTCCGGAAATGGCTTTTGTCCCACAGACTTGATCTTTTAACCG